CCATAAGGTGGCACTATAGCACAAAATTGGTTTCACTTTCCAGGGAGAGCTTTGGGTGGGAATTGGGTGTACAGAGTTGGGACTTAACAGCAAAGGTATTGGGAGTAGGGTCTTGGGCTTCCAGGCCTTCTGGGCTTACAACAGGATGTCCTATCTTTTCCTTCCCTTCCCTTCCCTTCCCTTCCCTTCCCTTCCCTTCCCTTCCCTTCCCTTCCCTTCCCTTCCCTTCCCTTCCCTTCCCTTCCCTTCCTTTCTTCTTTCCTTTCCTTTCCTCACTCCAACCTTTGCGATCTTTCCTTAGTGAAGGCAACTCACTTCCAGTTGAAGCACTCTTAGCTGGGCTGACTGCCTTCACCATCTCTGCCAGAAAAGTCATGCTTATTCACTGCCACACTGGCCTCTGCTTTTTCTGCATTCATGGTCTGGATTGCTGGCTTGGCAACCACTTTTCTCGTTCCTCTGCCTCTTCCATATTCCAGTCCACCCACTTTGGGGTGCACAGATGGATATATTTCTCAAGTGTCTGAAATGTTTTGCAGAAGCACTGTCTACTTACCATGCCCCTCCTCCTGCCATAGTTGTAAATCAAAAGGGAAAAAAAAATTAACCCTACCCTGATGATGATATTACTCCTTTATATATTTTTATTAACTCCCATAGCAGATATGCCTTAAAAGTGTTTTCTTAGAAAATTTATTTTTTTAAATTTTAAATTTATTTCAGAATTCATTGCATCAGGTTTTAGCATGCTAGCTGTAGCACTGTAGCATTTCCTCCCGTTGTTTATCGATTTGCTTGAGTGGGCACCAATAGCGTCTCCATTGTGAGACTTGTTGTTACTGTTTTTGGCATATCGAATATGACACGGGTAGCTTGTCAGGCTCTGCCGTGCGGGCGAGATACTCTCGGTAGCTTGCTAGGCTCTCCGAGAGGGGCGGAGGAATCAAACCCTGCTCGGCCCTGGTAGGCCGCTTGCAAGGCAAATGCCCTACCTACTGTGCTATCGCTCCAGCCCAGCATACTAGCTAGCTACTGGATAATCATGAAAAGCCCAATGTCCTTTAGGTTTTTTCTTGAATCAACTTGTAGGAGTTTTACATTTCTCTCTCTCTCTCTCTCTCTCTCTCTCTCTCTCTCTCTTTCTTTCTTTCTTTTTTCTGGGGGGTACATCCAGTGATGCTCAGAAGTTACTCCAGGTTGTGCATCAGGAACCATTCCTGGTGGTGGTTGGGGACCATATGGGATGTGGGGCATCAAACCTGGGTGGGCCATGTGCAAGGCAAGCACCCTATCTGCTGTACTATCTGTCTAGCCCCAAAGGTCTTGTTTTCTTATGTTTAGGTCTGCTTTGATTTAATTAAACAAGTATTTTTATTTGAAGCATTAAAACTTACAATAGTAATAGTAATAGAGTTCCATGCATGCTTGGCTCAGCATCACACCCTCCACTAGTGTCTGCTTCCTTCCACTATTATTTCATTGTCTTCCGTCCTCTACCCCTTCTTTCCTTTTCTCTCCCTGAACCACCCCCTAGTTCCTGGCCCCCATACTTTGTCTCATCATTGATTTCCAGTTTCATATTGTGGACAGAAAATAGTTGATTCTAATGATTGCAATCTGAAATTGGCTAGGATTTGGCTTTTGTCCTATTGTATGATCTATCATAGAGGTTGTTGTTTCCCTAGTTCATACCCAATAATTGGTATGATTTCAGTCTTCTTAAATTTGCTAAGATTTGTTTTGTGGTCTATTATTATATGATCTATGATGGGAAATGTTCCCTATGCACTTGAGAAAAGTTCTGCTATATTGAGTGGAATGCTCTGTGTAATCCGTATTAGTCAGTTAAATCTGTAGGTCATTTCTTCTAAAGTGCTGTCCAATTTTAATGTTTCTTTATTGTTTTTTTGTCTAGACACATGAGTTGTTAATAGTGTGGGGGGGGATGGGGGCCACATAGGGGCTGCTCAGGATGTAATCTGTGCTCAGTCCCAGTGGACTCAGGGGACCCCATAAGGTGCTGGGGAACAAAGGCAACTGCTTTCTTTACATGCTGTATTATCTCTCTGGCCCAAAAGTGAAAATTATTTTGCTTCCATTTTAACTTGCAAGTTATAACTTTCCAAGTTGAGATGAATTCTTGTTTTAATTTTTCCCATTATGATGTGTGTGTGTGTGTTAGGTATTTGAAGAAACATGAAATCTTTTATCACCTTATTCATGGAAAGTCAGATTTCTTTCTATTTCTTATTATATAATGCATTTCTCAGAAATGTAAAATATCTAATCTTTAGACAACAAAATAATTTACTGTCAATTCTTGGTACTTATAGCTCTATACAACCAATTCAATCAGGTAACAGTCTTTGGTTTCCCCCACCAATAACACCAGAGTAATTCAGACTTTTTGCAGATGTCTATGTCATTGTTTATTTCTTTGTTAAAGAAACCCTTTGGAAATTAATTCTGTAACAGGTAATTTTTATTGTATTTTCATTTTTGGGGGGGTCACACCCAGCGATGCATAGGGGTTACTCCTGGCTCATGCACTCAGGAATTAATCCTGAATGCTTGGTTACCATATGGGATGCCGGGAATCGAACCTGGGTTGGCTATGTGCAAGGCAAATGCCCTACCCGCTTTGCTATTGCTCCAGCCCCTGCATTTTCATTTTAGATGCTAATCTTTGCACCTAATTATAATATGCTTCTTTTCAGAGTCTTAAGAAGACTCCCCCTAAATTTCTTGGATTTGAAAGTTTATCATTTGACATTGAATAGTTCTTTGGTGAGATTAAACAGTTTTTCCTGTATGGCTAACAAATCTCTATAACTGATATAAGTAGGCTAGATAAATGATATAAAGGTCTAACACCATGAGTTTTTTTAGCCTTTTAAGAAATAGAAAAAGCTAGCTGCCAAAAGGCATGGAGATGAACATTCTGAAAAGATTGCTGAATCATTAGCGTAAAGCTGTTTAGCATGTAGAGTAGGTGTTCCTTTATTTTCAAGGCTAATTTTTTTAATATTTTATGTTATAATTACCTTTTCATTATATTTTAAACGATATGCATGTATTTACCTTCATAAAAGTTCTTTTTATCTGCTTAGTCTATAGAATTAAATTATTTAAGTATAGGGGTTTGTGAAATTCTTTTGATATTTCATCATTAGTTTTCCTTTCCAAATTTTATTTGAAATGGGAACATTTTTGGGCTGGAGATATAGTATAGCAGGTAAGATGTTTGCCTTACATGCAGCCAACCTGGGTTCAATTCCTGGAATCCCAGATGGTGCCTCCAGCGGGACAGGAGTGATTCTTGAGCACAGAGCCAGAAGTAATCCCTGAGCATTGCTGGGTGTTGGCTCCAAAACAAAACAAAATAAACACAAAGAAATGGGAACATTTTCTAAAAGATGAGGAAACCATATGGGAGATAAGAGATAAGTTGTATAAGTTAAACATATCTGTTATAAATATATTAATTAAATATATGTTATAAATATACTAATAGATACATTGCTAATTTTAATAGAATTACAATTAATATATTTTATGAATTTCACTATAAATATAGAAAGGATGATATTAAAAGGGTATATAATAATTTGAAATTTGTTAATAAGATATACAAAGCTATAAGAAACATAGCTTAACAAATATATAATAACTTAAAAAATAATATAATAAATATCACATGCTATAACAAATCATAAATATTAATAGAAGAAAGTGTTAGAAAGAAATACACCAACAGCAGAAATTACCTGGATACAATACAAATCAATTCATTATCTTTTTTCTGTTTTCCAAAGTCTTTGACAACATGTATTTATATCTTGGGATACTTTTGTGGGGGTGGTTTAGGTTTGGGCCACACCTGCTGTGATCAGGGTTTATCTCCTGGAGGTACTCTGGGAATTGGGATTGAAACTGCCAGTGTGCTAGGCGAGCAATTTAAACAGCCATACTGCTCCCCCCCTCCAAATTAGGGAAACTTTACACAGTACTCCAGATACTTTGACTCCAGAAGTAGCATATCCATATTTTAATCTGATCCAGTTAAGGTCTTATAAGGAACCTGAGTATTTAATGTCTGTAATCTGATACTTTTCTCCTTCTCTCCCCTGTGGCTAAAAAATTCTTTAAAGAATGATGACAAGGAGGGATTGGGGTAAAAGGGGCATACCATTTCACTGTATTTTAGTTGAAGTAATTAAAATTAGATGCCTTTTTTCATAGATACTATTGTGCCCTAATTATTAACTCTGTAGTCTACAAGAGTTCATTTTCTAAAATCATAATTGAGTCCTTATTTTAAAATATCTTTTGAAGCTTTATATATGCCTTCTTGTTCTAATTGATAAACCCCAGTAATTTTGAAAATACAATTATTTGAAAATTTTAATTTAAGCAAAACACATTTTAATATTATATATCTTACATCTGAATAATTTGACAGAGCAATTAAAAATATTCCTAAGTACTTTCATTTTATATTAATTTAAACTTACTCTAACATAGGTCACTTAATGGTTGTAATTATTTTTGTTGCTTTTTCACCTTGAATGGAATAAATATATACGTAGTTATAAAATTGTAAGATGAAATACTGGCCTCTTTGAAGGGAAATAAAAATGATAGAGCTGCAAGGAAGATGAATAGTTAATCATGGAGGAGGAGAAAAACTAGCTCATTACTTTGACTAGAGGCAGCTGGGGAAGTGACGTCCTGTAGCATTTGCTGTTCTAGAAAGTACAGAGACACGTAGTGAAAATGGGAGGATCTAGAAGGAGGCCGTCTTCTGTGTAGTGTATATTTATCTGTAAGTGAGCTGCTGGGGAAGGAATTGAATACGGAGACTCTGTCTGCTTGCTTACTGTTTAAAGACAGCAGAGCCGAATTGCTGATTTGCTTTAACTTTTAAAATACCCAGCTGGGTTTAATTTCTTAGAATTGTTGTCTTGCTAAGACTGGGGACGCTGTTTTCTTTCACAAAGGGAAATCTAAGTTCATTTCAAGGCAGTCGAAATGGGGAAAGACTATTATTCCATTTTGGGAATTGAGAAAGGAGCTGCAGATGAAGATATTAAAAAGGCTTACCGAAAACAAGCCCTCAGATTTCATCCGGACAAGAACAAATCTCCTCAGGCAGAGGAAAAATTTAAAGAGGTCGCAGAAGCTTATGAAGTATTGAGTGATCCTAAAAAGAGAGAGATATATGATCAGTTTGGGGAGGAAGGTAAGCTGTATAGATATGATTTCTGTCTCAAGCTCGCGCTCGCGCTCTTGTCGCTCTCACTCTCTCTGGCTATCATTACATTAAATTCTCATATGTCAATAGTAAAAAACAAAAAAAAATGGATATAAACAAGATTTCATCACTCACGTGAAATAAATATTACATTGCTGTGTATGAAATGCACTAGTTTTCTCTGTTTTGGATTTTGACATTTTGTAATATACATAGTGTACCATTAGATGATGTTATCCTTGCATATATTTAAGAGAAACTGAATTCCCATATACTTGAATAAATTGTATTTAAAGAGTCTTATGCAACTTGTTTTTTTTAAATGAATTTTCTGCTGAAATCAATGAAGAGACTTCAGTGATTTAAAAATCTTAAGATTGGTAGTGCAAATTCTGGATAGTTTATATTTTATTAAGGAAAACAAAGTAAGTTTTTTTGCCTTTTTTTTTATAGCAAATCTAGTTTTAGATTAAACAAGACGGAATCATCTCTAAAAAGCAGAGGCCCAGACATTTAGCTGTAGTTGTTTTTGGCATTTTGCCTGGGGAGGAAAGAATTTTCCTGATGTCATAAAATACCAGAACAAGTTTTTAACTTAATTGTAAACAGTAATTATGTGCCAAGAAAATGAGATCTCAGAAATACAGTTTTTGACCTAAAATGGCCACCTCGTTAGAAAAATGATTAATCTACTTTTGGATAACATTATTTCTTTGAAAAATTTGCTAATTATAGGGACAGCTGACAACATCCTTTCCTTCTCATTGGCATATTTTTGTTTTTTAACTTTATGATTAGAAACCTGATGAAGAAAGCCAATCTACACTTTAATCCTTCAGTTTACATTTAAGTTTGCCTATCATTTTCATATGAATGCAGCTGTAAAGACTTTTAAATAGCTAATTAATGACAATAGTAAAAAATGCTTTAATTCTTTTCGGTTGTAGAATTTTCAACTTCTTTGTCATTGAAGTTTGTCACATTGAATATAAAATTATTTTAAGATGTTGTTAGGGTTGTTAGGGTTTAGGTATACAGATTTATAGATCAGTAATTTAAATTTACTACATAAAGCATGTCACCAGTGATCAAGTTTTCATCCATTCCCATATACTTGACCCTTTTGGTCCAATTTATCCTATCTGCTTCCTCCAAGTTTTAAAATCACGACTAAGTTATTTTATTACTAAGCGGTTCTCTCTAAATTTTGTCTCTTCAATCATAGTTGTTATTAAAACTTATCTCTTCGGTTTATTGCATTAGTATTAAAATTTTCTTGTCAGAAAACATATCTTAAAATAAAGTGAGGTAACAATTGATTATGCTCAGAAAAAAAAGTGACATTTGTTAGAATTTTTTTCTTTTTAATCCGAGTTTCAAAAAACTGTAATTTTTGTTGCTAAATTGAATACTATGAAGACCTTCAGTGTCAAATTCTTGCTAATAATGAAAAATTCAAACAACCGGCTGTAAAATTCTGCATGTTCCTTCTAAATTTGTACTACAAAATAGTGTGATTTGATTAATTTCACTAGTGAAGTCAGTATCTGACACACCGCTACCAATATACTAATCTTTCTGAATAAGTTAAGAAAACCATTAAACATGAAGCTATACTTTATATCCCCTTAAAGAGTGTACACACACACACACACACACACACACACACTTATACTAAATCATTATGTTAACATCACCTGTGACTAAACTTTAGGATTCTTTGTTTAAGGATATTTGTCTTCAGTATTTTCAAATAACCAAATGATACATTTATATTGTTTTTCTTGAGTTATGTTAATATTTCTCTGGCTTGATTATTTTATTTTCACTATTATTAGTGGGGAAATTTTTTTATAAGCCAAAGCAGATCAACTGTATACCCTGCATTGTTTTTGGTCTTTACTCAGATTATTGATAGAAATCATAGGTAGTACTGAGGGGAGAATAAGTAATTTAAAGCATTGAAATATATTATTCAGAAATATTTGCTAGCTACCTGAAAGTAGAGCAAAGTGAAATTTAATAATAATTTAGAAATTGTGTTTTCATACTGAAAAATATGTTTACTGCACTTTGTTTGGAATTAATCAATTATTTTTTAAAACTCCCTATAGGTAAACTTTGAAAATGTGTAAAGCATTCTTTCTTTACTTATCATTAATCTGTTTGTGCTTGCAGACCTGGTTCGATACCCCTATGGATTTCTCCAATAGTGGCAAAACACTCAATTTTATGACTGTGGAGCCATTAGTAATTCACCTGATAAATATTCTCCCTAATCATTACAGTTTTAAGAACTGAGACATGGGAATAAGTATTCATGAGTCAAGAAGTATATATGTTGATAAGTATATGTGCTAAACTCATGATTAGGTACAAAGAAAACCAGTAACCAAGTTGTTTTGGAAATCCCTTGTATCCTTAATTTTAAACGATGGGGTTTTAAAAGTTGATTAAAAACAGAAATATTTTAAATTCACAATTTGACCCAGCAGTTCCACTCCTAGGAATCTTTCAAGGAGAAAGAAAAATATCCCAGTCTATACAAAGATGACATAATAGCATTATTTGTAATGACCCAAACTAGAAACAACAAAAAGTACCGGGCTGGAGCAATAGCACAGCGGGTAGGGCGTTTGCCTTGCAAGCGACCAACATGGCCGACCCGAGTTCGATTCCTCCACCCCTCTCGGAGAGCCCAGCAAGCTACCGAGAGTATCTCGCCCGCAGGCAGAGCCTGGCAAGCTCCCCGTGATGTATTCAATATGCCAGACACAGTAACAACAAAGTCTCCAATGGAGACTTTACTGGGCCTTTACCTTTACCATCATTTGGTGAATTAATAAAATACATCATGGTACTTATGTACACACAAACATGTGCAGTGGTTTAATTTTAGGACATATTGTTTTAAAAACTTATTTTTAAAAATAGAAAATTTTTCTTCATAGTTGAGTCATTTAAGAAACCAAGTCATACAGAACTATAAAAAGTTTGAAATTGGATTTTTAACATTCCTTTTCTTTATGCTTTTTATTTTTTTTGCTTTTTTTTGGGTCACACCCAGCAATGCTCAGGAGTTACTCCTGGCTTTGCACTCAGGATTACTCCTGGCAGTACTCAGGGGACCATACAGGATGCCAGGGGTCCAACCCAGGTTGACCGTGTACAAGACAACCGCCCTACCTGCTGTGCTATCGCTCCGGCTCCCTCTTTATGCTTTTTAAAAAATAAAATAATTTATTCTCCATAGCCTTTTAAACTAATTTTACTGAAAGGGAGTATTTCTATGACTAAAGTTGTATTTTGTAAAATCTTTATACTAGTTTGTTTACTTCTTTAATCTGTGAATTTAGTAAACTGGATCTCTGTTTACTGAGTATCTCTAAAAATAAGTAAATTGGATTTTTGTGAATCAAACTAAATTTAAAGAATTTCTGTAATTTTTTGGGTTTGTTTTTGTGCTTTGGCCCTAGCTCTTGAGGGCTACTTCAAACTCATTGCTCAGTGGTTGTTCCCAACAGCGTCTGGAGGACTATGTAGTTCTGGGGATCAAACCGAGGTATCCTGCATACAACACCAGGGCTCCAGTCTGTTGAGTTATTTCTCTAAGTCTTGTTCCAAATCTAGCCCTCTAATTTTGTCTTTGAAGTCCTAATTCTTTTCCAATTTTAGTCAACCAGTCGTAGTCATGTATAGTATCCCAAATGCTTATTTTTGGAATTTCACAATGGTTGGCTACATATTTTACACAATACATGCCTGCATATTTTATGTTGTACCTCATGCAAATGCTAGGCAATGCAAGGGATACTTGCATAATAATGTTGCAATGGTGTGAATTTTGATAATCTTTTATTCCTCAGACTTTATTGTAACCTTGTTGTTTATCTGAGCTATGTAGTTGACTAGTGTCAGAGAAACCTCTAGCCTGTACTGCAAGCTTTTTGGTCAACTTTAACAAATTATTTCACATGAAAGTATGAATTCTGTGCATGAATACTTCAAAAAACTCTAATTCTTACTGAGTTACTATCATTTTAGCAGAGAAAAGAAAGAATTTTAGTTCAAAGCCAGACTTATGGTATAATAACTTAAAATTTTATTTTTTTTTGCATGAATCCATTAGGAATCCAAGACATTTAGATTTTTGTCTTATAGCAGGTTAGATTAAGCAAGCCAATGTACTCAATTTATTAATACTCTGCTAAATTACTCTGTTTATGGGATAAAAGATGAAATAATTGAAACAGGTTGAGTCACATTGGTCATGGCCTTGAGTTACCTACATGTTCAATTATTTTGGAGAATATATCGCTAGCTTTGTTTTTTGTTAACAATTGGGGTTATTGTTGTATCTCTAAAATTTGAACTGCATGTTAAATGTTCTTGTGCTGCTTATACTTGTTATTCTAAATGCTAAACTCCTAATTGCTAAATGGATTATAATTCAACATATATATTTTGACAGTCTTAAAATTGTATTTCTCCTGATCTCTCCAGATTTTATTCTGGAAGGTAAACAGCACTGCTTGTTTCATTAGTCAGGAATTGCCCATAAGACTTATTCTGAAACTTTCCTGATACAGAAATGATAAAATATATTGTCATTGCTGATCCCTTAAAAAATTGCTATAGGTTTTAGTGGTACCTTTTTTTGGTATGTGGTGAAAAATGCTATTTCAAATATGTAGTCTAGTGTGAGCTACATATTTCTTAGTTGAGTCTTAGAGCAAAGGGTCAACAGGTCAACACTATCTTGGTGTCTGAATAGACAGAAATAACCAGTCCAAAGTTCTTGCATTTCTAGAGGGGATATATTTTTTTATTTCAGTCTTCTTTTTATAAACCATTGAAATTAATGCCGTCACATGGTCTGCTTAGATAAAGTTTTATTATTGAGGATAGGGATAATAATTTTAGCATCATTAGGACACTTCTGTGTACTGGAGAGATTGCTTAATGAGCTAGAGTGGATGCTTCAGTTGCTGGAGGCCTGTGTTTGATTCTGGCACTGCTCAAAATGAAAAACAAAAATTTATTAAAATAATTTTTTACTATTGGCTTTTATTATTATATTTCCCCTCTTCTTTGCTACAAAATGTTTGATTGTAATTCTTTTTGTTTGTACCTCCCCAGCAGTGCTGGTGGTTGCCAGGGCAAGACCCAGCAGTGCTTGGCAGCCCTTGTATTTCTGAGAATCAAATCCACAACCTGGTACATGTAAGCATGTATTCTAGCCCTTTGAGCCATCTTCTTTGTAACAGATGATCCAAATAAAACTAGACAATATGACCGTGGTATTACATATTGTTGATGATGGTGCTTGTTGATTATAATGACACTTAAAGATTTAGGTATTGGATTTCAGTTTCACATTGGTTAATGATCTTCACTAACATTTTCCAAACACTTATATTCTTGCATTTTAGAAAGTTAAATGAGTTATTTATGAGATAAGAGAATTCTGATTTTTATTGGTCTTATTGTGGAAGAAGATTCAGGAATAAATTACTAAACAAGGAATTTTTAGATGAAAAATTTTAAAGCAAAAACTTAACATAAGATGTAATGATCAGAAGTTTTATAGCTGTTTAGTAAGTAAAGGGCATTTATCATAATACTAACTTGTAAGTTAGCCAAAGTTTATTAGGAATAAAATTTTTGAAAGCTTAACTGTGAAGACCATAGCAAGCTTTTGTTCTAATCATACTTATCTCTTCTTTCAGGGCTAAAAGGAGGAGCAGGAGGTACTGATGGACAAGGAGGTACCTTTCGTTACACATTTCATGGCGATCCTCATGCCACGTTCGCAGCATTTTTTGGAGGTTCCAATCCCTTTGAAATTTTCTTTGGGAGACGGATGGCTGGTGGTAGAGATGCTGATGAAATGGAAGTAGATGGAGATCCTTTTAGTGCTTTTGGATTCAACATGAATGGCTATCCAAGAGACAGAAATTCTGTGGGACCTTCCCGTCTGAAACAAGATCCTCCAGTTACTCATGAACTAAGAGTATCGCTTGAAGAAATATATAGTGGTTGTACTAAACGAATGAAGATTTCTCGAAGAAAACTAAATCCTGATGGAAGGAGTTTCAGAACTGAAGACAAAATTCTTACCATTGAGATTAAAAAGGGATGGAAAGAAGGCACCAAAATTACTTTTCCAAGGGAAGGAGATGAAACACCAACTAGTATTCCAGCAGACATTGTTTTTATCATTAAAGATAAAGATCATCCAACATTTAAAAGGGATGGATCAAATATAGTTTATAATGCCAGAATTAGTTTACGAGAGGTAAGTTAGTAGGACCTAGGTTTCTGAAATTAAAAATATAGCTAATCTTAGGGAATTTATCTTAAGTGGCAGCTAATATTTAATGCTTAGTATACATTATTTAAAAAATTCCCATAAGAATCCTCTAAAGGAGTACTAATAGTATGCCTCTGGATAAGATTATATTTTATAAGTTTATTTATCTGTACTAATAACTTAAATGCCAATTTTTTTTTTTAAGTAGGAGTACTGCTATTTATTCAGCCACTGATTAGCTGATTGAATTGGGCATGAACTCCACCTTACTTTTTTTTTCTCATAGTTTTTATTTATTTATTTTTCTTCTTTTATTTATTGAATCACTGTGGGAAAAGTTACTAAGCTTTCAGATTTAAGTCTTGGTCATACAATGATCAACACCTCCTTTCACCAGTACTCATTTTTCACCACCAAGAACCCCAATATGCCCCCCTTCCCAACCCTCCCAATGCCTGTGAGGCAGATGATTTGCACTTAACTCTTCTCTTCATTGATACATTCATTATTTTGACAAAAGAAGCACCATTATTGTTTAGAATTTCCCCCACAACAATCAGAATTGCTGAAAAGGCATTGTGAAATACTTTGTTTTCTATAGCTGGTTATGAGAATCATATAATGATTTTGGATTTCTGCAAAGATCCAGATAATTATGAGATTGGTTTCTGTGCATCTGGTGTTATGAAATGCCAATTTTTTGGGGCCAGACCTAACCTTGCTGGGGGAAAGGAGAGCTGCCATGTAGTGTCGTGGCTGCAATATGCATGCGTTGCATCTCCTCAGTCCTTAAATGTCAATTTTAAATGCTAATCAGATTATGTACTATCAGGGTTAAGCTACCACTACTTTTTGTTCTTGTATAAGATTTTAAAGAACCAGGGCTCATGGGTTGGAGCAATAGTACAGCAGGTAGGGTGCCACCTTACCTGCTCTCGACCTGGGATCAATCCCTGACACCCCATATGGTTCCCCCAACCAACCCTGTCAGGAGTAATCCTTGAGCACAGAGCCAGAAGTAAGTCCTGAGCAACGCCAGGTGTGGCCCCAAATACAAATAAACAAAAACCAAAACCATGTTATAATCTCTTTGCTATAATCAATCCCCATAGAAGATTTTTTTTCAAAATTGTTATTTGAAATAATTATGTAACAAAAAGATATTAAAATATAAAATAATTTTAAAGGGCAATGCTTTAATACATAAGGTCTCTATTTTTAGGCACTATTTCTGAAATTGGATTGTAATCCTTCATATAGGCTCATGTTAATTCTCTACTAAAAATTCTTAAGTGACTTTATGTAATTCCATTATAAACTCTAAACTCTTTAACTTAAAAGGTCATTATATCTAATTTCCACCCATAAATATATAAGATTTTTCCTAAGGGTGCTCTGTTATCTTGTATGCCTTTGTGTCATTGCCTGAGATCAATCTTTCTCATTTTGTCTCAGTGACTGCATTAGGTCCAAAAGTATAGTTCAACACTCAGTACTGTCAGACACTAAGGGGGTAAGTCAGTATGTTCTTTCTGTCACAAAAAACTTCTACACGCAAATCTCTGCTAATGTTATACCCTTAATTAGGTTTGGGGAGATAGTTCAAAGGACTGAAATGAATGTTTTGTATGCTGCATCTTTGGCCTGATCTTTGAGTACCACCAGGAATAGCCCATGAACACTATTCACTGGATGTGGTCCAAAAAAAAAAAATCAAAATAAGATGTATACTTTGTTTTGTTTTTTTGCTTTGGGTCACACCCTGCAGTGCTCAGGAGCTATTCCTGGCTCTGAGCTCAGTAATTACACCTGGTGAGCTCGAGGGACCATATGGGATATCGGGGATCGAATCTGGGTTGGCTGCATGTAAGGCAAGCAGCCTTCCCACTGTACTATCTTTCCTGCCCCAAAACATATACTTTAGTGTAATAACTGTAGCACTGTAGCACTATCCTCCCGTTGTTCATCAATTTGCTCGAGCAGGCCCAGTAACATCTCCATTGTGAGACTTTGTGGTTACTGTGTTTGGCATATCAAATACCTCACGGGTAACTTGCCAGGCTTTGCTGTGAGGGATACTCGCGGTAATTTTTTTTTTTATATAAAATGTCAGATACTAACTAAATGTCAGATAATAACTAATTTGCTTTTTTATAAAATGTCAGATTATGCATATTCAGGAGGAATTTTTCTAATTTTTTTTCTTGTTTGTTTTGGGGCCACATGTGGCAATGCTCAGAGCTCATTCCTGACTCTTCATTCAAGGATAACTAGGCAAGGCTCAGGGGACCATATAGGGTGCCAGGGATCACACCCAGATTAGCCACTGAATGCAAGGCCAATGCCCTATCTGCTATTCTCTTACTCTGAAACCTTACTAATGATTTTCTAATAGTAAAAGCTTTTAATTATTATATTCTTTTGTATGATAAATTATTTTTTTTTGGTTGGGCACTATATTTTGATCAGATTTTCCCACCACCATTCAAGCCTGATTTTCAGGGACAAATGCTAGATCATTTACTTTCCATTGATCACTTTGCATATCAGGAAATGTCATGCGGTCACATAAGCATAAGCGGCCACGCAGTTCGGAAAATAGTCCTGGTACCCACATGCCAGAACCATGCTTGTAGAAGCTCATGGTCACCGGGATTCCATCCGAAGAAGGCGGGGAGATAGCACCTACCCTATCTGGGACCTCCCAGTAATATTGGCTTTGTCTGGGGCGCGGAGAATTCTCTAGGAGTTGTGGGGCCCTCCAGCCAGTTTTCTTCTTCGCTGCTGTGTGCTCTGTATGATAAAATTTTATCCCAGTGGTATCATCCTTTATATCTGGTGATATTTTTGTTTAGGTTTTTTAAATTTTTAAGTTTATTAATTTTTTCTGATCTATTTTAGGCATTGTGTGGCTGCTCAATTAATGTGCCAACAATGGATGGAAAAAGCATACCTATGTCAATAAATGATATTGTGAAGCCTGGAATGAGGAGAAGAATTATTGGATATGGACTGCCATTTCCCAAAAATCCTGACCAACGTGGTGACCTTCTAGTAGAATTTGAGGTTGTCTTCCCAGATACTATATCCTCATCATCCAAAGAAGTACTTAGGAAACATCTTCCTGCCTCATAGATTGAAAATCTTTGTTACCCATATTTTGATAAGGCACTGAAAATATAAAAAGACTGGCAGTTTACTGATGTAGATGTGAATTCTGTATAAAGATGTATAAATTATTTTGAGAGATCATTCAATTGCATGAATAGAAATGGGTCAGATAAACAGGCAGGAGTGATTTTTACAGTTTAGAGATGAAGGGAAAAAGCATTCATTGTATTTTATTTCTCCTAAATCAAAAATTTTAATATCTGCTTACATGTAAATTTTTTTGTGGAGTTTGTAGATATATTTCTAATAAAGTACTAGACTCTCCAGGTACTTTATTTCTTGTATCTTTGCATTATTAGTATGATTGGTTCATATTTATAAAGCAAATTTAGATTCTTGGGGCCCAAGTGGTAGTACAGCAGATAGGGCATTTGCCTTGCATGCGGTCAACCTGGATTCAATCCCTGGTATCCCATTTGGTCCCCCAAGTACTGCCAGGAATAGTTACTGAGTGCAGAGCCGGGAGTAATTCCTGACTATTGCCCCTCCAAACTTAATTATACCAAAAATATAATACCTATTTCTAGAGAAGATATCCCAGTCATTTGGAAGGTTAACTATTATTTTAGTCACCATCTTAAATGCTGCTCTAGGACTGGTTCCATTAAATGATATCTTGATGCATATGTTTTACCATTTTGATTTTTAAAGTATGTGGTTCTATTTCTTAATGACTTATTTGTTATGCTCTTAAGACAGACCCTTTCTTGATAAAAATGAAATTAATAGCAACTTGTCTCCTGTGGAAATTCCAATTACCTGAATTACTGGTATTTTAGAAATAGACTGTTTTTAAAATGCCAATGTACTTTTATGCAAGTTTACTATATATCTTGGACTTAATAAATTATCTTATTGTCCACTAGTTTAATTTGTTTAATACGTAAAGCGTTTGGGAAAATATTGCTACTCTGAATTAATTTTCCAATTTATATTCTTCTATAACTTATGGTATCTGTATTTTATGTAATTTCTCTAAAAAGAATGAACTGCCACTCTGGTGTTAAACCAAAATATGGAGAAAATAAACACTAGCTGCTGCTTATGAATGATATTGCTACTACTTGTGCATATGAATGCTTTACTTTTTCATAAGTATAAGTTGTATTTCTTAGATGTTTTAATTTTAAAAATATATTTACATTAAAATGGGTTTACTTTCTGTTTTATAACTATAATACGAATGATATTTTGAAAGAACATTGTTGGTTTAAAAGCAATCTTTGGGATGATATATAAAGTTATACCAAATCCTGCCTCCTTTTAGCAGAATATGAAGTCTGAAAATTAATAAATAATAAATAGGTTGTAATTGACATGGACTTTATAGAAGTTTTATTGAGCTATAATTCATGTACTATGAAGATTTCCAGAAAGTCTACAATTCAGTGGTTTAGTATATTCAGAGTTAAGCAACCATCACCACTTTCTAAGTCCTGAGCATTTCATCATCTTAAATGAAACTCTTATATTCTTTTGGACTCTGCAGTCCTCAGTTTCTGGCAAACACTAACATACTATCTGTATGTTAGTTTCTGTATGGGTTTCTCTGTTCTGGATATTTTATATTAATGGGATTAAATATGTTGCGCACTTTTTTTCTGGCTGGACCTCTTTCACTTTACAAGGTTTCAAGGTTTTTCCATGTTATTTATAACATTTTATTGAGTGAATATACTACATGTGTTTATCCATTAGTTGATGGGTACTTATTTCCACTTTTTGGCTCTTGTGAATAACACTGATATAAACATTTTTGCAAGTATTTATGTGGATGTAACCAAATATCTCATATGTTTGAGAATGGAATTGTTGGGAATAACCATGTATACTTTAATTACAGACGGAAAATCCCTGAGAATTCAGGCAATGATGCTTATCATTGCATAATTCATGAATGATTTCTTTATAACATTGTTTCTCGGAATGACATTTGCTGGTCATTCAATTTGTGTTGATTGAGCCACATTCAAGTGTGAGCCATCCAGGCGTCAACATGTTAAGGGTGTGGAGAGAAAATATAGGGGTTAATGCACTTGCCTTGCATGCTGCTGGCCCCAGTTTATCCTCAGTATCACATATGGTCCCCAGAGTACTACCAAGAGTGATCCTTAAGCATAGAGCCAAGGAGTAAGGCCTGGTTATTGGCAGGTGTACATCCTCCACCCTTTCTCTACCCTCCTTCCCTGCAATAACTCCTTGGGAAAGTAGGAATAGCATATTTTTTTTCTAAAGGAACAACTGAAATGCATCAGTTAGATGAATATGTTCTCTGCTCGAAGTTTTGGGTTTGGGGGAGATCATACCTGTTGGTAATGGGGGTTATTTCTAGCTGTGTGCAGAGGCCTGCTCTTGGCAGTACTCAGGGGCCATGCAGTGCTTGGGCTCAAACATGGGGCTCCTGCATGCCAAGTGTAATCTCAGCCCATTAACTGTTTGGTTTCTAGTTTATTTAATTTTTGTTTTGTTTTTATTTTGTGGCCACATCCAGTGCTCACTCCTGGCTCTGTGATCAGAGATCATTCTTGGCTTTGTCAAGAACACATGCCATGCCAGAGATCTAACCCAGGTCTACCATATGCAAGGCAAGTGGCTGGTTTCTATTTTAAACTCACTGTTATTTTTTGCATTTTATTTTTGTAAGTCTAATTTCTATTTTTAATGACTTTTAAAGTTTTTTTGTCAATAAAATTCACAAAAATCCCAACAATTCTTATTTATACATATGGCACTTTTATGGATTCTTAACAATATGTGGAGTTCAAAACATAATGCACTTTTACAATAAGTGACACTTCACTTGTCCAGCATCAGCAGTTAGAAATATAGTCAACTCTTTTCTCTCGAGTATTATATAATTTATAATTATGAAAATTATTATTTTTCATAATAATTTTATCTCTATTCTAACCTGACCCTCTGCTTCCATTCCCTACACTTATTCAGACTTCATAAAATGTTAGTCTATTTCTTCCTGAAATTCTTTCTTAGTCTGACCATTCTCTATACACAACAGAACCATAAAATCTCAAATTTTCCTTAGTTTGAGAAGCTTGTTACTAGTAAAATGTTGCTGTTCTATGTGACCATGTAGAGCAATTTAATATCTAAGATATAGATTTTATATTAATTTTTTTATTGAATCAGTGATATACACAGTTACAAGATTGTTCATGATTGGGTTTCAGTCCTATAATGTTCCAACACCTATCCCTTCACCAGTATACATTTCCCACCACCAATGTCCCCAGTTTCTGCCCCTTTCCCCTCCTCTGTGGCAGTCACATTCCTCTCTCTGTCTCTCTCTCCTTTGGGCATTATGTTTGAAATACAGGTTCTGAAAGATTATCATGCATATCTCTTTATTTACTTTCAACACTCAGTTCTTGTACAGAGTGATCATTTCTAACTATTATTGTCATCTCCCCCGCCCCCCACACACACTTTTTGCTAGCTTCCAACCATTGACCAATCCTCCTGCCCCTATTTTTCCTGGTCTTGGATATTAGTCTCATACTATTTTTTTTATATTCCACTAATGAGTTTTTATTAAAATTTTTTTGATTAAGCAGTTTCTCCCAAGTTAAAGGATTTATAGATATAAAGGAATAATTGTTGTTAATGCCCCAAATTTATTTTAAAACAATTTTATATCCTAAAAATTCTGCAGACTCTACATAGGATAATTGCTGAGATCCATAGGCCTAATAGTAAAAATGCTGAATTCAAAGATACAATATTGGGGCTGGAGCGATAGTGGGTAAACAGCAGGTAGGGCGTTTGCCTAGCACGCGGCTGACCCAGGTTCGATTCCCAGCATCCCATATGGCCCCCTGAGCACCACCAGGAGTAATTCCCGAGTGCAGAGCCAGGAGTAACCCCTGAGCATTGCTAGGTGTGACCAAAAAAAAAAAAAAGGAAAAAATGTTAAAAGCAGTCAAAGACAAATGACTCAAATCTGACAAGGTAGTCCTGGTAATGTCAGCTGATTTATAACCAGAAATAATGGGATTGTGGGATCCACATTACTTTGAGGCTGCAAATATTTTTCATCCTCTTTTCTCTATATTCTTTGACTTCTATGATTTTAATATACATTCAAGGTTGCTATTATTTTCCTTCATAGTTCACATCAACTGTTGAACTTCTCTAGTGAAGTTACATTTAAGTTGTCTTTCCAACTCCATTTCCAAAAATTATACTTTCCATAATTTTTCTTTGTTGATACTGATATTTTCATTTAATGAAACTTTGTCATCCATCATGTCATAGTCAATCCGAGTTTCTTTTGCTTTTAGGACATAAAGTAGTAGTAGCTCCTACTGAGTTTTCAACAAGCAGTTTCTGTTATCTTTATCAGCTGTATGGAGCTTTCTTTGTATTTCTTCACAAGTAATACATTTTTGATAGATAGTAGACCTTTTAGATAATTATAGCAACTGGATACTAGCCCTACCCCTTCTAGGATTTTCTATTGTTTTAGTTATTGACTGACTGAATCATTGCCTGACTGGCCACACCTAGCAATGCTCAGGGGTTGCTCCTGGTTCTGCACTCAGAAATTATTCCTCGTGGTGCTCAGGGAACCATATGGGATACAAGGGATCAAACCTGGGTTGGGCATGTGCAAGGCAAATACCATACCTATTGTACTATTGCTCCAGCCCCATTCAATGTTGGCTTTCAAGTATGCCCAGTACCCTGAAACTCTACTCTAGCCTTGGACTGGTTCGTTAGCTGACCATGATTATCTCTTAAGCTTCACCAATTGCTCTTGTTTTCAACAATGTCCTCAGGACATAATGGCTACACAAACTGATCAATGATTAGGACTTCTTTGAAGGGCAGATTCTGAAATTTTGTTTGAGATATGTACTCACTGCTACTCCACAATGGCTTCTCTCATCTCTTTCCTCCTCTCTGGAAAACTCACCCTGAGGTGTTGGGGACAGACAGTATAGCTTCTCTGAGTCACACTCTGCTTTAGAAACTGAACTCTGCAGGTGGGCTGCGAGGAAGGACACATCTTAGGTTGTGCTCAAGTTTATCTGTGCTCAAAGTATAACAGTATCCTTTGTCAGACTTTATAACACTATTTAAAAATGGAATTTCACCTGCTTATTTCGCATTTCCTTGATTACCAGTAAGAGCAACTTTTCACATTTTGTTTCGTATCTGTATTTTCTATGAAATGACTTTCCGTCTGGTTACTTCTGTTAGATTCCATAATATTAACAAATTTTATGTTGGGATATTTCCTTTTTTACTGTAGTTCATTACATATTTTTGATATTTACATTAAATATGTTACAAATATGTCCTTCAGGTTTGTGACTGGTCAATTTTCTTCATGTCCTTTTTTTTATGGCTTTTTTTTTGTCACATCTAGTGATACTCAGGGGCTACTCCTGGCTCTGCACTCAGAAATCATTCCTGGAAGTGCTCGGGGGACCAAATGGGATGCTGGGGATCGAACCAGGCTTGGCCGCATGCAAGGAAAATGCTCTACCTGCTGTACTATAGCTCTGGTGCCCCCTTCAAGTCCTGTGTGATTAATAGAAACTCTTTATCTTTTGTTAATTGTTGTGAAGACTACATGAGGGGGTCCTCAGGTCACCAGAGCAACTCTATGCAATGTTGGAACCAGTTTGGTGGTGTTATTGGTGGGGTGTGAGGTGGGGTTCAAGGCATACCTTCCCAACCAGGGACTCACATGCAAAGCAGGTGCCCCACTTTTTTTCAGCCACTTTGGGTGGTGAGTGAGAGGAGTTTGGTGCTGGGGATTAAACCCAGAGCTCTGGACATTTAATGCCTAACCTCTGACACCTGAGCTACATCCCTGCTCGTCATGATGACATTTTTGAAAAGTGAAATATTCTACATGACAGGCCTGGGCTTGATCCTTGGAACTGCACGATTCTCTGAGCACTACTGAGAGCAACCCACCAGCAATGTATAGGAAGTAATCTCTCTCTCTCTCTTTTTTTTCTTTTTGGGTCACACTCGGTGATGCTCAAGGGATTACTCCTGGCTCTGCACTCAGGAATCACTCCTGGCGGTGCTCAAGGGACCATAATGGGATGCTGGGAATCGAACCCCGGTTGACTGCGTGCAAGGCAAATACTCTACCTGCTGTGCTATCACTCCAGCCCCAGGAAGTAATCTCTGAGTACTGCTAGGTGTGAGCCCGAAACTAGTTTGTAAACCATTAAATAAATAGATAGAATTCTTCTCTTTGGAGGATGTGGAGTTGGGAGCCATACCCTGTAGTATTTAGGCACTGACTGTGCTCGGGGTAGCTTCTGGTGTTGCTCAAGAATTTATGTGGTACTAACTATGGAGTCAGGGTTAAGTGATGCAAGCATTTCATTCAAATAAAGGTCACTTTATCACATCACCTTTAGTTATTAAACAAATGTTTAAAGCTCAGGGTTTCTCAAAATAAGAAAATTGTATGAAATGCTAATAAACTCTTGGGCTGGAGCAATAGCACAGCGGGTAGGGTTTGCCTAGCACGCGGCCGACCCGGATTCAATTCCTCCATCCCTCTCAGAGAGCCTGGCAAGCTACCAAGAGTATCCCACCCGCATGACACAGC